GAAAAGGTGAGAATAAGCATTTGTATATGCCAGGCACTATGCTAAGCACCCTTTTTTTTTTTAATATCATTGGATGTTCATAAGTCCTGTGAGGTAAGTGCTATTATTATCCCCATTTTATAGTTGAGGAAACTGAGGCAGAAAAAAGACATTTAATGTATCTTAGAGTTTAGAGAAAGCACTATCAAAATGGATAATAATAAAGATTAGTGAATCAAGGGACAAAATTCCAATTGTTTAGAGTATCTCATTCTCAACAGATGTAAAATAAATGAAGCATTAGTATACATTAAAACAGATGAACCTTGAGTTAGAATTAAATGTTTAATAAAGACCACTAGGGTGCATGCTGATATGTTGTAATACAAGTGGGAATTAAGCATATTTTTCATGCAAATGAATTGGTAATGATATGTCTGAGGCTGTTAAGAAAATAATCATAAGAAGAAATTATGTAATTAAATGAACATTTTTATATTTTTAATTGCCGAGAAGTGGAATAACTACATAAGCTGTAGACCTTCAGAACTGCTGCTTATGAGTGCCTAATGTTTAAGATCCTGATAAATATGAGCTCAGACAAGTGTCCCAGTGTATATGCAAACCAGATTGATGAGAGCTGCCACATGAAAAATCGCTTAGGCCTTTTCCAGACCTAAGGATTAAAGGGATAGAATTCTGTTAGATATTTCCCAACAGAGAAATATGAATGGAATTCCCAGATGTCCCAAGAAAATGACAGTATTAAAATGGGCCTAGCAATTCCTCCCTCCCCCTCCTGTCCCAATTTCCTGTTGCTAAACAGATTCCTAACCTTGATATGATAACATCTTTAATGGAGATTTGCTTTGAGGTGATGTCTTTTTTTCCCATTGTATTTTTAATCAAAAGAACTTTAAAAACTAAGAAATAAAGAATTATTTTAATAAATTTGGTTTGATCCTACCCCACATTTGTTTTTGTCATCCTGCTTTATTCTGAACTGGATATTGGCTGGAATGTGGCAAGGGGACAGGTTTTGGTCTTTTTTTTTTTCCCTGAGCTGCACCATCCTAGATCTTGCCCTCCTCACCACATCACACCCTGACCCCCAGCATTTCCAGAGGGTTTTCTTTGTATTTGATTTTCCCTCTCTTGTTCTCCTTTCCACTCATAACATTGGATTCTATGAGATAAAATAAAAAGAGATTTGTCTTAAAGGTTTACTCTAACATAGTGATATTTAGAAGTGAAATAAGTCCCTGATGTAATTAGCTTCTAAGCCTACATTTTTCAATTTGTTAAGTCTGGAAAATCTCTCATCAAAACATGCCATATTCAAATATAAAACACTAACAGCAAAAATACTTTTTATTTCGGTGAATGTGTTGCTCAGAACACAGGGTTCTGATTTTTAACTTATTGTTGGCCCAAATATACTTTGTTATAATGTGATTTCCCAATGGATGATTAAATAATATATTTCTTGTTTATTTTTTTAAAATTCATTTAAATCTATTGAAAGCAGGTGTTGTCTGGGAGGAATTTGAATGGCTATGTTTGTATCATAATGTTTGTCGACCAACAAGGACCCAAGTCTTCAGACTGTCCTGAGTGCAAGGTCCTGTCTCATCTAGACTTTTAGCACCTCTCAGCCTCTAGTATAATAATCTTCTATACACAGTAGGTACCTCATAAATGTTTGTTAAATGGATAAATCGGTTTATTTTTGTTTTGTTGGATTTATTCGGACTCTATCCTATCATGATTATTGAGGATATCATCTTTTCCCTTTTGGAAAGTGGTCTAGGTCAGAACTTTTTATTCTGCAAGAAACATGTCTTTTTGTGTCAGTTTGATTTCTCTAAGATGTTACTTACCCAGCCATCCCATGGAACTTGTCCTCCCATCATTAACAGACATATCATTATTCTAGCTGGAAGAATCCCTCTTATAGAGGTCAGAATGGACTTGGAATTTGGCCCGTAATTTGAATAGAGGCAGTAAATAAATTCCTAAGTGGGCATTAATCCAAGAATCCATTTGTTTTTGTCTAGGAATAGGAGGCTAGCTCTATTTTTATCAGTTTAGCCTGGTCTGCCAAGTAGACATACCCCTTGCCATTCATTAAACTCCATCCTACTGTATTTCTTTTCATCAAGCTGACTTGTTAGGCTGTCTTGTCTGTGTTTCTCTGGTTACTGTCACTCCAGTTCACAGAACATAAAGTAAGTGACCTCAGTTCAACCTATGGACTGGGAGGCCCCTTCGTTTGCTAAGATTTTGCTGCTCAAAACAATGTATGAACATGTAACCACTCACTGGTTGGGTGGGGATCTATGACCTAAACATTAAGCATTCATACCATCTACTGAAGGCGTAAGTTTGGGAAATGTTATAAATATTTTGTCAGGAATCTTGCTCAAGGCTGAAGGAGAAACTGTGGTCATGCTGGTTTTCCCTAGGAACATGCTTTTCCCAGTAGAAGGAACACAAAGGGATAGTGCTATTTGGGAAGTAGAGAAATTGCAATGAAGGCCACCTTAGGACATTGCTTCAGAATCAAGACCACAGGCAGATCTGCATTTGGTTTTCTAATCCAGCTTTGAATGTTGGTGTTTTTCTTTCTTTTAACCTGATCTTTTTTTCTTACAAATTGGGTTCTATATGCTCAGAATGCCAAGCAGAAAAAAGCCAGAATGTACTCCAAGAGTTCTTTAACTTAGGCCAGTTGATCTTCAGAGGACTTTGGAAACAGAAAAATCCTTAAAAGGCCTATGTTCCACCAGTAGGGGAAAAAAGAGGTGCTTTTGTCTCTTCAGATTACTGCATTTGAGAATAATGTGTACATTGCTGAAAAAAGCAAAACCTTTAACAGGATGGAAAATATCACACAATCATTTGTATGTTTTCTGGAACATTGCAAAACTGTCTTCACAGTTAAGCTTCTGGATCAAGAGGAAAATACTTTTACAGCCTCTGTAGTGTTGAATTTTTACATGCGTGTGTGGTTCAGTCCCATTGTGATTCTGAAGAAATGATGCATTAGAGTTGAGTATAGCGGTAGATCATATAAGGCCAGAAGAAAACAATCATCTTTGTTTTCTTTAGCTTAAAGTAACACTTTGTTTTGACTTGGATAATTTTTATTAAGCTTAGAATCACCTTTTCTTTTCTGTTTTTCCTCTAGGCATGTAAAATTACTGTAGTTTCATGATATAAACATGATTTTCTTTTGCACATAGTAAGTCTTTGGCTTGTAAAATGATTACCATAACAATGGCCACAGCTGGCATTTCTGTAGTGCTCTAAGAAGTTTGGCTAGTAACTTCCCATGCAGTATCTTATTTGGTCTTCCTTGCATCCTTGTGAGGTGTCCTATAGATATTAATCCTTATTTTACATATAAGGAAACTGAGGCACATAGTGTTTGTGACTAGCTGTGATCATGAGTAAATGTCAGAGTTGGAATTGGAATCCAGTTCTTTATGAGTTCCACATCTGCATATCTGTTTTCTGCCACATTGTCTCTCCTGGCAGAAGTCATTTATATAGCACTTTAAAGTTTCCAAAGTGCTTTCCTCACAGGATGGTTATCCTGTTAAGGTAAGAAGTAGTGTTTCATCGTAATTTTACAGGTGAGTAAGCACTGATTCAGAGGAATTTTGTAATTTGCTCAAGATCACACAGTAAGTAAGCATCAGAACCAATATTCAAATCTAGGCCTATTGACTTTAAGCCCAGCATCCTTTCCATCATACTTTGTTGTCTTTCAGACAGGTTTGATCCACCTGTAATGACCAGCAGGGCTTTGTGGCACTCCATGGATACTGACAGTAGCCCTAATCCTGGTCATCTCCCTGATATACACCTTTGATCCACAAATGTATATTGTGCACCATGAGAGCATGGTGCAAATCCACCCCTTAATAAAAGAGAAATATCTCAAAATTGGTGCACTACTGGCCATATGTTATAAGCTATACTTAATCCAAACACAGGACTTTAGATAGCTGGATTTAGTTATAAGTAAAGAAATCAAGGAAGGACTTGTTGAAGGACTTGCCTCACATAAATGTCGGAAATTAAGTGACATCTTTCCCCTTTTTAAAAAAAAAAAAGGAAAAATAAGGAAAATCTTATCTAGTAAACTTCTTCGTGATTAGGTCATACAAGTTTAAATTCTGTTCAACAAATATTTATTCATTGTCTTTATATAAAGCTTATGATGGGGGAAAAAAAGGACCCTGCCCTCAGAGGTTACATTCTAAGGTTAAAGCCTTAGACAAAGCAAATACTATCAGAGTCCTTAACAGATGTCAATTTGGTGATGGCCAGGATCACTGCCACCTATGCATGGCTGCCATATCTGCTGTCCCTACAGAGGTGAAGGGGAGAAAAGTCCATCCCCTGCTCCTTCTACATGTCCAAAAAGGCTTATTTTTCACATTTTTCAGAATTAACGAAACAGTGAATTGGTGATATTTCTGGGCCATGTGAAGTCTGGCCATATCCTATCAGAGGGTCAATTTCATATAATTGAATATTTATGTGAGGCAGTATTGTACAGTGGGACATGCCGTAGTCAGGGAAGTGCTTGAATTCTCATTCTGCCACTTTTTCCCTGTGTGACACAGAGGGAATCACTTCTCTGAGCCTGTTTCTTTATCTGTGAAATGAGATAGGACATGGGTAACCTTCCAGCCATCAATGTGCATCCTCAGTAAGGCCATGGTTAGATCCAGGAGTGGGGAGCCCACGGCCTTGAGGACACATGTGGTCCTCTAGGTCCTCAAGTGGGCCCTTTGAATTCAAACTTCACAGAACAAATCTCCTTTATAAAAGAATTTTTTCTGTAAAACTTGAACTCGGTCAGAAGGCTGCATGGACCTAGAAAGGCACATGTGGCCTTGAGGCAGCAGGTTCCCCACCCCTTGTTAGATCACTGTTGGATATTTTGAAATGTTTATTATCTGATTCCTCTTTACGGCCTAAATCAGAGAACTTTCTTTTTATTTCAGGTCTCCATTTTAGGATGCCCTGATCCAGTGGTTCACGAAATTGCCTATCAATATGGAAAAAATGTTGGCATTGCATTTCAGGTTCTTGAAATTTTTGTTTTTGTGTTACTTATGAGAATTATGGCCTTTTAAAAACACTTCCAATGGATAGTTCTGGAATGGGTTTTGACATCAGTTCTTTCTCCTTTAGTTGATAGATGACGTGTTGGATTTCACTTCATGTACTGACCAGCTGGGCAAACCAACAGCATCAGATCTGAAACTTGGATTAGCTACTGGTCCAGTCTTATTTGCTTGTGAGCAGGTAGGTTTCGTTTTAGAAGACCACCAATGGCTTCTTCAGTAAGTTCTTTCCTACTCAATAAATTCTTGGCAGACAAGTGGTTTCTGCATCTTGATTTGGGGGATAATACTTGAGATTTTCCATGGCTTGTCTTAAAAGAAATCCCCAGATCTGAATAAACAAGTCCTTGACATAGTGGGACAGAGATGAAGCATCACATCCATCCAAGTGGCATGAAATCTGTTGTCTTCAGGGGGACTTACAGGGGAATTCATGGAATTAAGGAGGGATCCCTGGGGAGCCTAGAGTCTCACAGCCCCCAGTCCAGGGTACTGTGGGACTAAATGAAGCAGCCTTAAAATAAGGGTAAGAACTAAGGACTAAGAAGCCTCAGTAATGATTTAATGACTTAGAAGTCAGTTCACACACCTTGAAATAAGAGGATTACTTGGAGTTTTCAGATCTTATTTTACAGGTATTTTCATTGTGTGATTTGGTCTGTTTTAGCAAGCCCATCTGACATTCAGCATTTGGGGGCACCTCAGATACTTACTAGCTGCAAGACCCTGGGCACATCATTTAACCTCATTCTGATTCAGTTTTCTCTTCTGGACGTGATGGCCTCCAAGGTCCCTTCTAGCTCCAAGTCTTTTCTTTTCTGAGCCTTGAGAAGATAGATTATAGCTTGCCTGCAGCTTTGAACAGATGGCACTATACTTGGAAACTATTTGAATTCATAGTAACCATGCCTTTTCCCAGATGAGAGATGAACCCCCTTTTACCAGTTTTTTTTGTAGAATCAGCTAGGAGAGAGGTTAGAAGAATTATTGTTAGGTTTGGGGTTGGAGCAGCAGTGAGGTGGAATAGGAAGGTTTCAGTACATTACAAGCAGAAAAGGTTTTACTGGTATAAAATTAGAGGACCCAGACTCCAACCACTGTGTCCTTCCCACTTCTGAAGGTAGGGATGAAAATGATCTATCTGTACTACATCCCTCATTTTAAAGGTGTGCTTTCTGGCCAGCCAGCCAGCCAAAAGACTCATCCCAGAACAGTGATGGTGAGAATCATATGGGTGATAAGGAAGAATGCATCGTGTTCCTGAGTCGGAGAAGACAGTAGACAATAAGCCTCCATATTTTAAGGAAGGGATGGGGAATAAACTTTTTTTCTATCCAGAGACATTCAGAGACATGGGAAAAGGGGGAGAGGGGAGGCATAGGCTGTAGACCAAAAAAAAAGTAGTTGACAGATATAGCCAGGATTGGAAAATTAAGTTAATGACAATCAAATAATCTCCCACCCCTAGCCTTAACATATTTAAAAGAATACATGTACTAAATGTGTATTTTAAAAACCTGGTGCTACTTCCATGGCCTTCTTCCACCCTTATTAATAGATTGTTTGTACTATATGCAATAACCAGCACCCCAAACCAACTTTTGCTTGTCACCCAGAAAAACCGTTAAGCAAAACTGGCCAAAAAAACAGCTGTGTCTGAAAGCTTATGGAACCCAGAGACCCCAATTCCCTATTGTTTCTTCTCTGTGACCAAGATGGGTCACTGAGATTCTAGGGGAGCTGCCTTTTTGTTCTATTTCCATTTATCTTATTGTTGGCAGGTAGTATGTTCTCTCTGATTCTTCTCACTTTATCGTTCATCAAAGCCTTCCCACATTTTCCTGAATTCTTCCTATTTGTCATATATGGAACACATCATAGCGTTCCATTATGTTCATGTGGCAGTTTGTTCAGCCAGTGGGGTGGGGGGTGGGGGTGAAGAGTGGGGTAAGGCTGCGCTGCTATTGGCCAGTAAGGATTGGGAGGCAGGGGAAGGTCCCTCACCACAGGATCCAGCTTCTTGCACATTCCATGTGGTGGGCACTTCTAATTGTACAACACGAAACAAAAGAAACATTAATTAATATGAATTCAGGCACGCCCTTCAGAGAACTGAAGGTATTTTTTAGGTGCTTATTAACCCAGACCAGATCTTCCAGAGTTGGAGTCCCCTGTTTTCAGTCTCTCCCTCTTCAAATGATCTTTTATTTTTCCGTTTATCTGGCATCTGCCAATATAAGATGAGCTGTTTGTGGGCAGGACCTGCCCTTGGCTTTGTATCTCAGGACTACAAAACATGCACAGCACTGTGTCTAATGGGAACTTCATAAATATTTGTTACATATACACCCAGAAAGTTATTTTGCTATTAGGCTTCACAGCAGATTTTTTTTCTTAACTTCCCCCAGATTGTCCCCTCCCCTACACTGAGGACAGGTTGCTGACCGCACCTCAGGACAAGTGGCCTATGTTTCATTTTAACTTGCCACTCTGCAAGAGAGAGAAATGCAGACAAAAACAAATTGAGAATTAAAAGAAGAAAGGGTACCCTGAGCTAGAGGACTGGAGCCTGAGGCTCTAAGACACTGCCATCCTTGATTCACTGGGAAATCCCAGAGTCACAGGATGGGCAGCACACTCACTCTCACAAGATTTCAGGCCCTGCCATCTGTCAGCTATAGCCTGAAAAGGGAAGAATCTCAGCCACAAAAAAGGGAACGGTCTGAGAAAGGGGCATACACACAAGACAAGGCAGGAAGCAAGGGGGCACTGTGTGTGAGGAAATGACCATATCTTTTCTGTGCAGATTCTCTCTTCTGACATGAATGCCACAGGTCAGCTAGATTTGGACTGAGCTTCGTGAATTTTAAAAATAAAACCACAAGTTAAGGCACATTGTCAGCAGAGCAAAGTGGCAGTCACTGACAAGCTCTGAAAGTCACACTAATTTTAAATTTCAGGTTTCCAGATGTTCTTTTCTCATTCAAGTCTTAGGTGCAGAGAGAAATGAAGAAAATTTCTCTATATTGTGATAGGCTTGTCAGCTAAGAGAATGACTAGTGGAAAATTCAATTTTAGTAAAACAAGGTTAGTCCCCAAATAACACATCTTTACCATTCTCATTTGATCTTTTTACTGGCTGTCATAACAAAGCAGTAGAGTACTCTTAACCAGTTAGTTCCTTCTTTAAAAAGTCTCCTAATCACATTTGAAGAAAGTCATCATAGTAAACTTGATTATGTGCATCTTTGTTATTTATAGCACATTTTTAATCCTTTGTTGATCAGTGATTTGTTTCATATGATACTTAGATAAGCTGTACAAGCCTAGCTACCTTCTGTTCCTTTAAAACACTCAATTTGGAAGTTTGCTAGAATTTCAGAACTGATAGACAACAGCTAAAGAAACAGGAAAGGCCTGAGCTCAGGCTTCCATGTTCATGGGAGATACAAAGCTAAATTTGGGAAACATCTTTATTTCTTTCTCAAGGGAGGCTATACCTAAAATAAATCCAAGAGGCAGTGGCTTAAAGGTATAGAATTTGGGTGAAACAGCATTTGATACTGGATGCATTTATACCAAGCTTTATTTGTTTCTTAAGTAGCCAGATGTGCTTTGGTTCCATTTCAGCTCAATTTAAAAAACATATGTAAGGCACTATGCTGAGTATCAGAGATAGGAAACAATAGCCCCTGTCTTTTAAAAGAGCTTGCATTCTAGTAAAGGATACATGACAAAGATAATACAAGTAAACTGAAATTTAGGATCACACCCCCAGAAAGACAGAGAGGCCCATGGCTGGAGTGATCTGATTTCAACACACTGCAAGCAAGTAGTTATAAAAAGAGAATCTACATGTTAAAAATGTCCATAAATAGCAGGAAAAAAAATTAGGATGGTCATGTGGCGAGGAGGAAATAAATCTCATATATGAAGGATAGCCTTTGAACAGTCACAAAGACAGGAGATGGATGGTGTGGCATGTTTAGGGAGCAACTAATGGTCTAACTTGGCAGAAATTAAGAGTGTATGAAGGAGAATAATATAAATGAAGACATGAAAGCTAAGTAAGACCCAGACTGTAGGTCGTCATCAATGTCTGGTCAAGGAGTTTCTCGTTTGTATCCTAGGGGCCACATAGGGAGCCCCTGAAGGTTTTTAAGCAGTAGAATAACCAGGACAGACTTGTGTCTTGAAAAGATCATTTTGGCAGCTGTACAGAAAAGGGCTTAGAAACCAAGAGACCAAAAATAGGGAGAGTAGTCCAGGAGGAGGTAGCCTGAACTATAGTAGTAGCTGTGCTGAGGAGAGAAAAAGAGAATGAATGAGAGACTGTAGAGATGGGAGTCTAAAGAACTTGCCAGCTGCTCAGATACTTGATTATAGAATTCAAGTTACACATTTATTAAGCTCCTAGTATATGTTAGGTACTGTGTCTGATGCTAGAGACTCTAAGATAGAAAACAAGTCCTGTGTAGCAGTATCACAGCAATAAAAATAAAATTGTATCTTTAGATGGTGAATTTACTTACCATTAACCATTGTTTTTCTTTGATTAGTTCCCAGAAATGAATGCAATGATAATGAGACGATTCAGTTTACCAGGAGATGTGGAACGTGCTCGGCAATATGTATTGCAAGTAAGTCCAGTTTATCAGTTATGACATACCAAAGCTTACTTTAAAGCCAAGCAAAATAGTTTAACTACAAAGTATTATAAAAATAATCTAACTATAATTTGTGTCAATGGGGAAATGGCAGGCCTTATAATCTCACCTTTTTCCCCCCTACCCCCCACCCATCTTCCTATCCAAACTTGGCCTTTTCTGGAATGGAACCATTCATTCACATGTAAACCTTGGGATTGTCCTTAGGGTCATCGTTTGCACTTAGCTCTCAGCCTGTCACCAAGTTCTGCTAATTACTTCTTTCTGTATTGTCATTCTCATCCAGACCTTTTACTGAGACTAAAGGGCTAACCTGAGTGGTCTTCCTGCCAGTTTCCTAAGCCATGCTACACATTGCTGCCATAGTAGGAGTTGTAGTTTTTGTCATTCCTAGCAAACAGTCAAGATGACATTCAAATAATTATTGCTATTTTGGAAGTCTCTATATTTTACTTCCAACAATATGGGCCACTTTGATACGTTTTGAGAATTGTCTTTAGAGCCTGTACACTACGGCATGCAAAGCTTTTGGTCTGAGGGTGAATTCAAAGTTTTGGAAATGGTTGTTATTTTGGACGATATAACTTATATAGCTAAAAGGAGTTGTTACATGTTGGTCAGTTATTTGTGAAGCAGTTACAAAGTATCTACCAAAAGCGTAAGATCCAAGATTGAGAGTTAGAAAGGTACTTGGAAACCAGCTAGCTTGACTCCCTCACAGACAGGTAAGGAAATGGATCCGTTGGAGGTTGGGCGAATTGCCCATTTTCACTCGCTAAAGTGGTCAGGCCCAGGTCTGAGCTTAGGTCTTCAGGTCCAGATCCAATATGCTACTGTACCACGTAACTCACGATCTTAGTATTACTAAGATAGTGAGAATAACTGTAAAGTCTGTTCAGCTTCTTAAGGGGGGAACCTTTGTCAAAACTGACTGAAGGGAAGGAGTTGGCCAACAAATGACCCAAGAACATAGTTGAAGAGTTGCTGCAGGGCTCAGGAGAGCCCGCTGAGAACAGGCCACGCCATCAGAACAGGCTCTGGCAAGCTCTGCCAAACTGGGAAAGTTCCCAGCACGAATAAGCCTGGTGATGGAGCAGCCAACAGCCAAAAGGTTATGCGCCAGCTGATGAACCATTTTTAAAAGCTTTAACTACTCAACTTAGCCCTAGAAAAACGAGGGTTTCTAAGTCTACCTTATGGTTTGGAAGACAATCTTGTCTAAATTTTAATTACAATAATCTGATCCCTTTTATACATCATCTTATCTTTGAAAGAAAATTTTAGAAAAATATCCAAAATAAATCACTTTCTTCTAAGTCAGGGCAAGTTAATACTACACTGCTATGTAGTATCATCATGAAATCACCTAAAATTTCACAGTAAGTGAGCCTCGGGATATCCACACCAAGCCTCTTAGGATAAATGATTGAAATTATTTGTGTCTCTCTTCAGTAGAGAGTGCTGCTGGCGAGCTCCTTCCACCAGGGCTTTTCAACTTATGATGCTAGAGTTGCCCTGCGCACTTGACTTGCCCAGGGTTACACAGATAGTCTATGTCAAGGAAGAACTCCAAGGCCAGTTCTCTAGGCTGTGCTGCCTCTTATTCATAGGAAGACTTGAAATGTCCAATGAACACACTAAAATAATTTCAGTATGGCAATGGAAGTAAAGACTGGTACATTCAGTAACGTGCATTTCTCCCCCCTGCAGAGTGAAGGTGTGCAACAAACAACCTACCTCGCCCAACAATACTGCCATAAAGCAATCAGGGAGATCAGTAAACTTCGACCATCTCCTGAAAGAGACGCCCTCATCCAACTCACAGAAATTGTGCTCACAAGAGATAAATGACATCTTTCCATTTTCTGTGGCAGCTATTTACCAGACTGTGCCTAAACAATTTTATGGAACACTTTTTTTTTTTGCTTCTAGTTCAGACTACCAAAAATCTTTTTCTTCTTTTTTTTAAATCATTTCAACCTTGTTTATTGGAAATTTTTAAAAGAGCTTTTTAAAGACAGTTGTATTGAAGGAAGCCATAACTATGTCATTAAACCATCTGAATCTGTCCTGGGTTCTAGTGCTGTAAACTTTAATGGGGGTACTATTTGTGTGATATTGTTTACAATGTTAATATCCACATGTAAGGCCACAAGAAGAATAAATAATCAGTGTTTAAAAGATTTGGTTTTTTCACCTTTCCTATAAAACATTTGGAAATATAAAAGTGACAAACACAGCAAACTTCAGATCCAAGCTTAAGTTTTGGTTATATTTAACAGTACCCAAAATTGTATATAGGAGAATGATTTATTATAAAAGACTGTACATAAAATTTAGACAATAGGTTATATACAAATTAAGAAAACTTTCCAATTGATAACAGCAAAATGAAAGTTATTTGATCACGAATGATATTGAAATCATGTTTACAATAAACAAAGGAATAAAGCAGTCACATAGACCTAGATTGAAATAGAAGGTATTTTCAGAACAAATGTTTTATACTGATCTTTTTCATTCACTGTGCCAAAATTTGCAATACCTGATACAACTGACTATACTTTGAGATCCAAACAAGTCCTCAATACACAGAAACCCACATTAACGTGTTCTACTTTAGATATCCTAACTAATATAGATTTGGACAAGACAAGAACAGAAATGTCACCTCTGAAGATCTCACCAAAAGCCCTTCCTTAAATCAAGAGGAGACACAAAGTGGACGCGATACTTTTAATGACAAAAGAAGTCTCCAGTTTGGGGATGGTCCCTATTTTCACTGATTAACACAGCAACTATTGTCTTCCCTATTTGATCTTGTTTTGGGTTGCCACAGCCAGATGATGGATTTAATAGCGCCAGTACAAAAGTCAATAGCATCCACTTTTACAAAAGTTATTTGTAAATGGTGCTCTGGTTTCCCTATACTGAACCAGCATTTGATCAATAGTAGTTGAAAAAGGCAGCTGTAAAACTCATTGGAATGGTATATGGCAGTAAATTGGACCCCATAATTAGACAATCTTGTCTAAATTTTAATTACAATAATCTGATCCCTTTTATATATCATCTTATCTTTGAAAGAAAATTTTAGAAAAATATCCAAAATAAATCACTTTCTTCTAAGTCAGGACAAGTTAATATAAGGCCTACACCAATTTTTTGTTCATGGAGAATGTGCTGAGAAAATAGAAGCATTATTCTGCAATAAATCCATACTTTTATTTTTAAAAAAGCAAACCAATGAAGGAAAGGACAAGACCTTTGGTTCACTTATGTATTTATGAATGGAAAAAGTGAAAATGCAAATTCACTCATTAAAAAAACTTAGGTACAAATTACAACATACAGAAGACCACCCAGTTTTGTTTCACATGGATACCTTAGAGACTCAACAATTTAGTAGACTTTTATGTGAGTACTCCAGATAGATTACAACAAATTGGAAGCATCTTGGATTTTTTTAAAGTATATTTCAATACATAAGTTTGTATGCATGCTTTAAACAAATAGTATAGTTCAAAAATGAGCAAAAAACTAAACAAAAGTATGACCAGCACTAGCATTAAACTTTTCTTCCAGATTCTTAATGTTAGTCTAACGTAGTGTTAGTTACCATGCTGCACTGAAAAATGTAATGGCACAACTGGAATCATGATTCATTAAATACTAAACCCTACTTCCCCAGAATATTTAGGCTGGTCATAAAATTAAGAATGCATAAGTAAATACATAAGCATAACCTGTTACAGACAGTTATTTGTACAAAATGCTCTTCAGCAATACATAAACTGTCTCCCAAAAGTTATGCTCATGGATGGACATTTGATCATACTGACAAAACAGCATGTCCTGAAAGTATGGGCACATTCTAAAACAGTAAGACAAATGTGTTCACCATTATAGTTGTCCCACAGTATGATTGAATACAAGATCCCATTTCAAAAGCAAAAGAATCTTAATCAGTATAGTGCATGATTGATTCAACGTAATTTCCAGGGAACAAGCCAGTCACTCGATTGCAGACTCCTTCATACCATCCATCATCATTCTTCTTTATAACATAAATGATTGCACCCTCCATAAAAGACAGCTCATCATCCTTGTCCTTTGTATAATCATATATAGCAACAACTAAAGAGAGAGAAAAAAGAGTTGAAATATTAAATAAGCATGCTAGAATGATCTTCACACTGCCATTTCCTATGTAGTACAACAAATTCAGTAATTTCAATGAAGGGTTTTTTTCAAATTCATCATAGTAAGTATGACAGCAGTCAACCCCACTCTGCTGCCTTAAGTGACAATTTTATGTTATCTTACATTTTGATATTATCATCTGGGCCTATGTTTTTATGAACTTATTTTTATATTGGTACCCATGTATGTACTGGAATTTTAAAGTACACCTCTAGAGAAAACTGTAATTACAAAATATACAAATTGTTGTGGCCTCTATTTATTAGGGAAATGTTATGATAGCAATCCATGAATCCACTAACCACTACAATGCTAAGTCAATTTCAAGATTATGTATTAGTAGACAATCACTGCCATTTTATAATCTGTTATATGATGTAAAATAAAAACACCACTTTACTCTTATTCTTAATCTTGCAATGTAATCAAAATGCTAGATTTCTGTGACAACACAGGGTGATGAATTCACTAGGATTAAAGAGTATCAGAGCATTCAAGGTTTTAAAACAAGAAGCAAAAATACAGAAAATGTGGCAGGAAGCAGGTGTGGTCAGTGAAAGTGGGATTCTTTCAGAAAGGCAGAAATGTGATGGCTGAAAAAAAAAAGGGCTTTTATTATGGGGGAAAAAACTACCAAGACATCATTTATTTTCATTGAAAAGAAAATTGTTTCTTTTTCCTCCCAATCACAGATGGTTGGATTTGGGAAGAAAACGTGTGTGATTATGACAAAGGTTTGGTGTGTTTATTAGTCATCAAAGAGAATAAAAAATGTGGCTCATCTTGTTCCTCTGCACCTCAGCTGTGGACCAGTGAATTAAGATAGTTATATTCTTATAGTTATATCAAACTTTTAGAATGGTACAGGGTGGAGAATGAAAAGGGAAACTTGGAGGAACAAAGTCTGCCTTCTCCAACACCCCTGACTCTGGGCAGGCAGCCTCTGCTCCAATATTTTCAGTTACTAGGAGCTCATTATTTCACAAAGCAGACAGTTCCTTGTTTTTGAGAGCTCCATTTGACAATTCCTTTTTGTAACCCTGCTAACATCTGCCTCCCTGTTAACTTCCCCCCACTGACCTCTGGAAAGATAAAAAAGTCTAATAATTCTTCTTCCACATGGCATGCCTTTTAACATATAATCAGTTATCATGTTCCCAACTGCTTTCTTTCCAGGCCAGCCACCCCTATCCTTACTGCTGTCCCCCCCACCACTGAGCATTTCTTATGGCATAGGTTTCAAAGTCTTTACCATCCTGGCCACCATCCCCTGAAAAGGTTTCAGTCTGCCAAGGTCCATATTAAAGTGTGGCACCAAAAACTACTACAATACTTTAAATGTACTCAGGCTAGTGATGACTGTCGTGGGAGTATTATCTCCCTTCTTTGGGGTGTAATATTTATATTAATACAGCTGAAGATTAATTTATTTAGCAACCATATCAAACATAACTTAACGACACTTATTTGTCAACTGAAACCCCTATAACTTTTTCACATTAACCATTATTAAGCCAGGTCTCCACTACTATTTTTTTTTTTAAGAATAAAAGCATAGGACTTAATGACTACTCCAAAGTCCTACCTCCATGCTTCATCACTGACACAGAAGCTGGGGTTCTTGAAAGCTATAACAGAAGTTATACTTGCAATTCTTTCCAACCAGGTACTAAGATGAAAAAATGGAATGCAAGCTCTGACAAGTTCTACCAAGTTCATGTACAGACATGGCAACTGAATGAACCTTCTCTCCAAGAATCAGCCTAGCTAAATTCAGAAAGGTTCATTCCCAGAAGCCTGCCCACCAGCTAATGAAGGCTTTTTGTCACAGCAACTCAATGGCATGCTTATCAAATCTGCAGATGACAAAACTGGGAAGAACAGCCCAAAACACTGGATGAGAGAGTCAGAATTCAAAAACACCTTGACAAACTAGTACTGTATCAAACATATACCCTTCACAATCTGGCTTCAGATAATGCAAGGAAATTTATATTTGATTTTAGAGGCAATTGGAAATCAGTGGAGTTTTTTGGGCCAGGAGATGACAAGGTTAGAACTGGGATTTAGAAATTCAGACTTTGGAAGCTATATGGAGGCAGACTGAAAAGAGGACAGGGAAACCAATTAGGAAACTATTGCACCAGCCTAGGCAAGCGGTGACTAGAGCTGGAACGAGGGCAATAGTCCTGTGAGTGGAAAAACAGGGAAAGATGTGAAAGATATTAGGGAGGTAGATTCAATGAGACTTTGTAATACACTAATTAGACACATGGGGTCAGGGAGAGAGAAGAGTTGAGGATGACCTCAAAGTTGTGAAGCTAAGTGACTGGAAGAATGGTGGTGCTTTTGACAGAAATAGGAAAGAAGAGGAATATAATGGGATATTATCACACCACAAGAATGATGAATAGTAGGAATTCAGAGCACCTTGAGAAGACTTATATGAACTGATGAAGTTCAAGGAAAGTAGAACCAAGATAACAACATACACGGTGACCACAGAAAATAACTTTAAAAGGCATAAAAAATTCAAATGAGTGTAATGATTAATTCTGATTTTCAAGGATTGATGACAAAACATACTTCTCTTCTCTCAGCAGGGAACAGATATCCTGACTACAAGTAAAGAATACAATAGACCTGTCAGACATGGTCATTGTGTTGATTTGTTTCTTGTTAAATGTTTTTCTATGTTACAGGGGGATGATTCAATTGAAGGAAGAACTGACACAGGAAAATAATATTTAAAAACAGAGCTCTTTTTTTTTTAATGCAGAATGAGATGCCTCAAAGGGTCCCCCTGTCATTGTCCTTGCCCCCACTCCCTGATTTCTGAGGTTACTTCCAAATCTGAAATTCTGTGTTTCTATAAAATAGAGTGGAAGGAGTATGTATACAGATTGTGGAAATAAGCAGGTTTTAACATTTATTCTTATTTAAGTTTAATCAGGGATATATGAATCCTACTTCCATCATC